TTGTAATTGTATCCACCACAGAGAATGTTTTTTCATCTTCAATACTAGATCTTTAGAGAAAACCTTATGCGACAAGTCATATTTTATATCTCATAATCTCATTTTTCTCATTTTATATTTGTAAAAATACCCATTTATATTACATTAGTTTTAGATCATTTGATGTATGGATTACAGGTCCAAAAACTTCACATTTTATAATTAGATTCAATTGCACTTTGATTGCGTCTTTCCACATTGGCCAGTCATTTCTATAGTTATATTCTTCAATAAATAAAGTTCAAGATCCTCATTTTTCTTTCATAATATTAAGCTCGATATTATATACAAAATATCGTTGACGTTTATTTACCAGTTTCATCTTTTCTCTTCATGACATAATTGACTGAGATCTCTTCACTTTCAATGATTTTAGGTACCTAAATTTCTTCTAAAATATTTCTCAATTATGTCAAGGGTCTCTTCCAGAGTTTTTACTTCTTCTTTTTGACCATATTAAATATTTGATCTTTTTTTAAGGATTTTATCTTTGAAACCGATTGGTCTCCACGCATCTGACGTACCTTGTCCTACAGAGTCATCAATGCTAATAGGAGTATTTGTAGCTGGTATATAAGATTTAGTTATTCTTTTAGATCAGTAAATACGTCTGACAACTGATTTATTATATTTTATAAAAAATTATCTTTTGAACTTCAAGTTCATATTGATTTGTATGAGGATCAAAACTAGATAATGATATTCATTCTAAGAAATTTTCTATTGCAGCTGCTTATTTTTCTCCCCTTAATGTTGGAAAAATTATTTCATCAAAATAACAATTAGCAAAACTTGTAGTGAATAAATCTACTGTTGAAGGTTCTAGATATTTAATTATAGATGGAGATTTACATCCAATATATATATTCCTAATTTCCTTTGAGGACCCTTCTTTGTGCGTTGTGGTGGAGCAATTGAAACATATACTGTACATCCAAAAATTTTTATATGGGAAATATTTGGTTCATGACGATAAACTAATTGTATAGGGAAAATTTATAATAACTTGTTTGGCTCGATGTACATAAATGCTGTGCATCTAAAATGGCATGCCCCCAAGCAGTCATTGAGAGCTTGATTTCATAAGTAATGGCTTTGGAATTAGTTAGAAGTGTTTAATAAACGATTCTGTTAAACCATTTTGTGTATAAACATAAGCAACAGGCTGTTCAATAGTTATTCTAACTAATATGTAATATTAAAAGCTTAAGGTGTAAATCCATTAGCATTGTCAAGACAAATAATCTTGATTATATAACTAGGAAGATGTACTTACAAACGAATGATTACAAATGCTAAATTGCAAGCTAATAATAAGCACACATGTGACTATCTAGTCGATACATCGATTAAAATCGTAAAATATCTAAATAGTTCACATGATGGATGTATGAATCCACATATAATCTTGAATATTATTCAAAAACGTAGAGAATTGAATCCCAACTTTAGCTAGTGATAACTTTATAATTTATTTACCTTCAAAGCAAGCAGCATATAAAATTCATTAGATTGAAAATTTTTCTGGTTTCTTAATGAATGATCATATAAATTTTTAATTATTTTTAACTTCATTATTGATTTGGGATGGTCCAACTGGTCATGCTAAACATTAAAATCATTAATAAACTTTTGGTTCACTATAAGTTTTAATTATTCTAATATTTTTATAGTTTAATTATGAGAACAGAACGAGTAATTTTTTTTTCAACACATACTTTCTACTTGAGATAATAGATGTAATATAAAGGTATTAAGTGTCTCTTTCTTTATTGTACAGAGCAAGTAATTTTTTTTTTCAACATATACTTTCTACTTGAGATAATAGATGTAATATAGAGGTATTAAGTGTCTCTTTCTTTATTATCTCAATATGATATTTATCCAAACGAATATCTTTAAAACATAATAAACTTCTTTTGGAAAATAATATATCCTCTATTACTTTATTCCTCAAGATAGTAAAATATTAGCTCTTTTGGAGCCTTCAATTAATCTTGTACTACTAGATATTGAACTGACATTGATTTTTTTGTCAAGTAGGAAAAATATTTATTATCTTTAAATATAATGTGTGTTATAGCAATATCTACTAGATATATAATTACATTATTGATCTTAGATCCAACAAGATCAACATCTATATTTTCTTCAATAAAACAAAATATATACAATAAAAAACTTGCAAGTAAACATAAAAGAATATTAAATATAAAATTAAAACACATAATAAAAACATATCATTTAAATATAATGAAAACATAATAAAGCATCTCCATAATATAGTTATACTAAATATACCAATTACTATTAAGTTCATTGTTGGATGTTTCTATTACCAATCAAATGATCAATTCTTTTTTTAGGATAAGAAAATCAATAATAGATATTTTTATTATCAATCATATAATCAATTCCTCTTTCAAGATAGGTAAATATCTTGATGTGCTATATCAACTTGGTTATGATTAAAATTATCACAAGATGTTTCAATTTTTAATAATGCTTAATAAAATTTAAGACATATAACAGGTACGTGACCAATGATCTTTCATGCCACATCAATAATAATACATTTTCTATATTCATTTTATTCTTTTTATTATTTATCTATTTCTGATGGATTACAAATATTCATCTACTTTTAGTAGGTTAAGGTATCTATCTACTTTTGATACGTTGAAAGTATTCATCTCTTTGTGTGGTAGGTTACAAGTATACATCTATTTTTGATGGGTGATCCATATATAATGGGTTATCCACTTCTAGTGGATTATAGGCATCCATCCATTTTTTATGATAAAATTATATATATACTTCTAGTGGTAAAATTATTCTTAAATTCAGATGATAAAATATCCATCCACTTCTAGTGCAAAAATAATAATTAAAATAGAGACAGTGTAAATTGTTATTGCCATTATTACATTCACTTTAAAGAATTGATGGATTCATGATTATGACCATAATTATTAAATGATGTCGCATTCACTTTAGGGAATGGACAGATTTATAATTTTTTATTAGTATCTCTTTTGTCACATTCACTTCAGGAATGAACCTTCATGTGTTTTAATTAATAGTTATATAATAGGAAATTCACTTTCCAATCAAGAGACAAAATATAATATATACAACATGATAGTAAAATTCATATTAAGGTTGATTTTAAGAGAATGGAAATACTAAAGAGATATCAATTCATTTACTTGATTTTCTAAAATTAGAAATTAAAACCCATTCATTGAAATCCTTTGGAAGCTTGAAGATGATGAAAATAAAATAATTCTAAAACTTGAGACTTGAAGATGATGAAAATAAAATAATTCTAAAACTTGAGAGATCAAAGAGAATCGTGCTGATAACGTGTTTTGAAATAAATCTAAAAGAACAACTATAAGAGAAATATAAGAGAAAGTATTTAGAGGGAAAGAAAATATTTAGAGGGAATAAGAAGATTTTATTTAAGTATGTATACAAATGAACTAAGATGGCCTATTTATAGGTAAATAAGTCTTTTACAAGATGAAGATGACAATTAGAGATTAGATGGATTAAATCCTAATCTAATCTAATTTACATCAAATCTAAATATAGATAACATAAATGGATATTTACAAAAATATTCATAACAAAATTTAAATAATCAAAAATAAATATTTCAAATATCAACTTAAATAATTATAAACAAATATTCAAACAACAACTTAA